TGATGAAGGTGGTGGTGAGGCGGTAGCTCCGGCGCCGGAAAGCAAAGATGGAGCGGCGTTAGAGAAATGGTGTGGAGGGAAGTGTGAAGGGAGATGCAAAGAAGCAGGGATGAAGGATAGGTGTTTGAAGTATTGTGGGATATGTTGCAAAGAGTGTAAGTGTGTTCCTTCAGGAACTTATGGGAATAAGCATGAGTGTGCTTGCTATCGTGACAAGCTCAACAGCAGAAAAACTCCCAAGTGTCCTTGATTCTACATCTCTCCAACCAAATTTTATTTCTATTTCTAGAAAAGAGATCCAGTGAAACAAATGGATCTATTGCTTATCAGCTCATGAGACGTTTTCTTAATTCTAGTTGTAATTTTCGGTGTTAATTTTGTTACGGTGATTATGATGTGGGATTATAATTTTATCAAATTAAACAATCAAAGCTATTTAATAGTCCATATGTTTTTTTTAACAAGTATAGTTATATGATTTTGATATTATTTCATAAAAAATTGCTGTCTAATACTCTCAGCCATCTTTGTTTAAATAATTTGTTCGAAGTAATTATTTGGGAATCGACAATTTTTTTTTTGAACATCAGGAATCGATAACGTTTAAATAACAAAAATGTTAAACAATTATTTGGGAAACGATAATGGTAATGAAGGTTATAATTTCATTCTATGCAAAAAAACCTTTTAAGATATTTTATTGAACATATAGATTGCATGAGCTCGGCTAACCCGGTGTAAACAATTAAATCCACGTCTTTTTTTTTAAATTCGTTTTTTTTACCAATGAATGAGAGGTTTGTAATAGACGATTAGGAAACATAAACGAGATCAACGTGTTTGGTAGATAATTATGATGGAGGTGCGACAACTTTTACGAGGTTTAAAAAAGACTGACTATCGTGTTAGATTCATCACATGCTTCAACTACTTTCTTGTCTATACGTTTTGTTTTTTTTTTGTTTCAATATTTTCGGAGCATAATTATTGATCCTATAGGGTTATCTTTTTGAGTCATATTTCAAAGTGTTGATATTCGGAAAAATGGTCAGTGGTGTCATATTCGGAAAAATGATC